CTGGGGATTTTTATATCATTTGTTTGGAGCTGTGTTTTACTTTTCATTTAAAGCAAATAGAAGGTGCTTTATGCAACTTCAGTCTGCATGAACTTGCTGGCCTTTGTCATGAGCCATGTGGCTTTGCAAAACCACTGCTATAGCTTTTTGTGTCTGTGTGTATTTGCTTTTTTGTTTTTATTTTTTCTGGAAGGAGTCTGTGGAGGTCAACAATTCTTGTGTTATTGACCCATCTTTTTTTGGCAGCTTCTTGGGTTTATCTGAAGTGAACAGATGTAAGTTCAGGCAAAATTTATTTCCAAAGATTTCAGCCTGATGAACCAATTATGTACAATAAGTTGGAGGAGAGGAAAAAAAAATATAGGATTCTTTCTCTCTTTTCCTGAACTTTTATTTTATTTTATTTTTTTCTTTCTCCAGATGAGGCTTTTATTGCTTACACTGTTTATTTATTGAGCTGGTGTGATGGGCATGTTGGCAAGGGAAACTTCCTCATGCTGCTTGTACAAGTACCTCTGCTTGAGCCGAGAAGACCATGTTTGAGTGTAAAAACATCATTTGGCCTTTAACTCAGCTCAGCCCAGATCCTTTCCAGGAAGCTCCATAGATGCTTTGGAAGCTAGTGATGAAGAGATGAGATCCAGCAATATTATCTTTTACATAACCCCACTTTGGCCACAGTCTTGAGCACAAGATGGATTTGCCTTTATTATATGCAAAACTCTTCCAAGAGTAATAAAAAAACAAGGGCAACAAAATCATATGAAATGACAATATAAGGACTAATATTTTCAGAAGCTGGAATAGAAATTGCTATCTAATATTGTTCCAGTGTAGCCTACCACTTTTCTTTTTTCTTTTTTTTTTTCCCTATGCTGCAGTTTGTGTTATGTCTCATTGGGTGTATAAAGTGGTGATTAATATATAGCAATTTAACATAGTTTGTCAATACAATATATGTTTTGCCCTTCATGATGTGAAGCACCCGGGGCATTTTAGCAGGGATCATGCTGGGATTTGGGACAGTAACGACTCATAGCTCTAATCTCCATTCATCGTCTAATGTCTTTTAAATGCATTTATGGTTCTGGCTTCAGCGAGTCCCACGTTTTAATTATCTTGTGTGAAGAGAGAAAACAGTGAGGTGCCTCTGCTGACATCAAACAGAGAAACACTGCTGTATGTCAAGCCGAGAAATGTATTACTAGAGTACGCTAAGTGTGTTTATAATAGGCTAACAGCATGATGTGCTTTCATGGGGTAGCAGAAAAAGCTGAATATTTTTAAAAGAAGCAAGGTTTGTATAAAATACAGAACTAGGAGTACCAGTAGAAGTTTCTGTTTTATCTTTAAAATAAAGAATTATGAAAAAGGGGGAAAAAAATTAAATGCTAAGACTGGAGACCTGAGAAATAGGATGTGCCGGAGCCGTGTGCGTGTGTGTATAATCATTTCCATCTGCTTTATCTTTCTCTCCTACATGGAGGAGAAATTTAGTTACATGACTGAGCATATGAAAGCAGTTTCCTTTTGTAGTCACTTTGATTACAATCTTCCCCTGCAATTTTGTAGGAGAAAGGGGAGCAATTATTTGAAGTGTTTATTTAAAAGAAATAAAATAAATTTTCAGATGTTTTCTGGACCGAGTACAGAAATACATGTGACTAATGGCACATCTTGCTTGTTTTCATTTTTGATAAAATTTGCCTTTTTTCCTCAGTGAACTCTCTTGATGGAAGCAAGTAAAATGTGGGGGATATTCCTTTGCCAGCCTCTGCTGGCACTCCAGACTTTGCCATGCCAAGTAGGTGTATGTAAGGGAGAAACTGCATAATGACCCTGGCAGTGAAAAGCCCCACCAGTTGGTCTAATAAGACCTCTGTTGCATATAAATAAAATTGTCAGCTTCAGTTTGCTTCAATTTAAAGCAGTGGTGCAGGTCCCATTGGCTTCGGTGGGAGATTGAAATGCAAGATAGTTGTTGTTCCTTCCCCATTCTGCTCTGAGCATCTCGTTTAGTAGCTAGCCCATGCTTTGACTTTTGAGATTGCTGAAGCTTCTGATTTCACAAGGAGACTGCCTTTTGGCCAAGGAGCCTTGAAAGGTTTATGTTCTTCCCTGCTTGTGGCTAGAGCTGGTATACATTTATGTACAACAGGCAAATACCACACAGGCATGATAATAAATAATTCACTGCGCCTTTTCAACAAGAGGAAATTACATGCTACATTATTCAGGAATATACAAAGATGCTGCTTATTGTGTAAGGCAAGTCATATTCTGCCAATGAACTGACAGCAATTTTGCAACTAAAATAACAAAAAGGACATAAATTTTTTATCAACTCAAGTTTTATCTTTTTTCTTCTGTTCAAAATCTAAATGCTTCTACTTAAGTACTGAGATACAGAAAAGTATGTGTGTGACTGGGATTAGTGAAAACATTGAGTGGAAAAAAAACAAAGATAAGATGCATTTGACTGCTTGATTTAGGTGGGCAAGGCAGGAAAACCTGTACTGCTAACATGGGAAGATCCTGGTCTCCTGCTGTACAGTGCAGCTACCACGTCCTTCATCTCGTAGTAAAAGATTGGGGAATTAACTTGATTAGAACTTCTTGGTGAAGAAAGGGAAAGGAGTGGTGGCAGGGAATTACATCCTGACTTCTATGTGTTTTACAGCTGGGTTTTTATTGCATGAATGTGACAGTAGGAAATAATATAAAATGGTATGTCTGCAACTAGTGGCTTAAAAAACTCTTCTCTATTCTGCTAGCTGAGTAATATGACATTGCCCTGTGGTAGGTCCTCCAACTGCTCACCTAATAAAATAGCCTGTTGCAGCCCATATGCATAAATTGGCAGAGTTACAGGTGCTGGTGGGACTTTAAATCCAGTTTCATGACTGGTGTGATTAAGATCTCAGCTTTACTGTAGGATAAGCATATTTCTCTTTCTTCATGGATCTGCTTCCCATTAAAGCCTTTTTCTCAGCTGTCAAACATGTAGTTAAAGGGATATTTTTTTTTCTCCTTGGGTTTGTGATATTTATACTGGAGTTTCCTGAGAAGTGTCTGCACCTGATAAGAGTTCAAAAAATCCCATTCAATTTTATTAACATACAAATGGACATAAATTTCACAGAACTGGGAAACTTGCACATTTTTTAATGCAGGTCTGGTTCTGGTGTTCTATACCCATTAGTGTATCTTTGATAGCTCTTCTTAAAACTTGGTGAATTACCATTCTTACCTCTGTGTGACTGCCAAGGCCCTCATCTCCCCTTCCCCTTTTGTACAGTCTCCTTTGGGCAACTCTCTGTGGTTTTCATTTCCTCGGGTGGATTGTGTCCGAGTCTGCCCTGGCAGTACTTCAAGCTCCTCCTTTCTCCTTTGCTTCCTCTGTAAAAATCTTTGCTCAAAATCTTTATTGCTACCTGGACATTGTCTTGTCAAAATGGAGCTTTTCACTTGTTTTCAGAACTTCCCTTCATCTGTCTCCTCTGCATGATGTGGTTGGTATCTCTTGGAGATTTTTTTCTGGTTTAAATCTTGGACTCTTTCTCCTTGGCTTTCTGCAGCTGCTGTTTTTCATTTGGACATTCATTTTTTTGGGCTAACTTGTGTATATGAAAGCAAAACCTTTTTAAAATTACATGTATGAGTGATTTAATCTTTCTAGTCTGAGACTTCTGTCAAAACCATTGCACACCCCCTTGCTCAGAGAAGCTCCAAAGACTGGTCTCTTTGAGGAGTGATAGACTGATTTCTTTCCTTTCGATTTAAATATAGTCAATAATAATTGTGCTATGTTTTGTATCTGCCTCAGCTGATTTAGAGAATAAACTTATTAGGGAAAGAAAAAATATCTGTATATATATGCATTGGAAATGCTTTTATCACCTGATAATGGCAGAATTATCTTTTTTTGCATATATGCCCCTTTTGGACATAAAAGAAGTGTTAACACCTATAGGAGGGCATGCCTCACCTTCTGTCCTCTGAGTACTAACTACAATTTTCTGGAGAAAGAAGTTCTCATTTCTCAACTTGTCTTTCCCCTGGCCACTTGGGTATCGCCTGCTTGTACCCACTGCTGTTCTCTACTGTGTAATAGTGTTTGGTGGGGAAAAGCAGCTAGAATATAAATAATTTCATCTTAGGACTTTGGTGTCTCTCATAGAAGTGCAGCTAGAAGAATCATGATTAATGCAGGACCTGACATAAGTGGTATTTAAAGACACTTCTAGAGGAACAAACCAGGAGTTATTGTTCAGGGTCATGACCCTGCTTCTTCAGAATGCCAAAGAAACGTTGAGAGAACTGAAGGCAAAAGAGCAAAATTTTGGAGCTTGTGTTAAAACTGCTAAGGGTGAATTGCCAAACATGTCTTCTTTTTCACATTTTGATTATCGTAGCTTGGAAAATATATTTTCATTTAAATAATAAACAGTGAATGTGGAGATTTAGATGCCCTGTGAAGTAACCAGTTTTTTTAAATTTTAATGCAGCTAATTATGACACAATTTATTTGGCTAAAAAAATACTTTAGTTACCATTTCATTGTCCACAGGCACTAGCTTGACAGAGCCTATTTTGTTTACAAAAATAGCTTTGTGTATATCTCTATATATGTTTTTGTTTCTTTAGGCCTTTGAAGCTAACTCTGAAGATGACGCTTCAAGAAGCAGCAGTCTCATTTGGAACCTGCTTGTTTTAGGACTTTCTGGGAACTTCTACCCCTTTTTTTGCCTATTCCAGCATAAATCAGAGGACAATGAGTTCTTTTTACTTTTTGCATATTTTCACAATACATAATGATTTTTATTCTTTCTCATTTTGTTCAATGGGAAAAACTTGAACCAGTTTTGTGTCTGATTCTTACTTCATTACATTCCTCTTGCTGAGCCAAACTCTTGGAAACCATGTCCATTGTATGTCTATTTTTTATTATTATAATTTTGTTGTATGTTATATAGCACTTTCAGAGTGTTTTTAGCTCTTCTGATTTGAACCTGACCTTTTTCACTGCTGAGTGTTCCTAGAAGCACTCAAGCAATTAAGCAACTTCAGCCTGACAGAAGATGACTCGTGTGCTTCAGAAATATTTTTATGGCTGTGCTTGGGTCATTAATACAGTAGTTTAACAGTATTAATATGAGGCATTGCATTAATTGCTGCATACATTTATTACCAAATGACTTGCACAGAAAGTGTTTCAGATGCCGTGGTCCTAACCACAGTAACCAGAAGTGTCCTCTTTGCAAAGGAGAAAATAAGGTTGCTTCGTACCAGGACAGCAAGCAGATGAAGTTGTTTGCAGTGTTGGAAGTAAGGACTGATCACAGTGAAAGCTGGAACGGACTTTTCTGCCTGAAGAAGGGGAAACTATGCAGCTTGATATTTGGACTGATTATAATGACTCTAGTGATGGCATCCTACGTACTGACTGGAGCCAAGCATGGGCTGCTGTTGCTACCGTCGCCGTTCCATTACGGAGCTTTTACCAGCAATCCGAGCTTAATGGACAATGAAAGCCTCAGTGATATGAAAGACCATTACCAGCCTTCCAAAATTAACGTTTCATATGTAAAGGATTATCCAAGCATTAAATTAATTATTGACACTATTGCCTCAAAGATAGAGTTTATAACGAGACAGCGCCCTGATTTAGAAGAGCTGAGGAAACAGGAGCCCCATGTAAGTATGAACTAAGGCTTGTCTGGCACTGCTGCATATTTATTTATCCAAGAATTCTGGGTCAGTCTTTTACTGAGAAAAAAGCGTGCAGCTTTTCTGATATTCCTGTGTTGATTTATAGCACCTGAAAAGTTGATATTATAGATCTATCCTTCCAAGTCACAGGAAAAATAGATGTATAAATGGTTTTGACACCTGAAACAAGGTCAGCTTGTACAAACACATGGTGTTTTCACCTTGTCCCATTCAAAATCATTCTGACTTGGTCAGATTTTTTAGGCATCTTAAATGATAAATAAGAAAGGAGCTGTCTAATAGCCCATTACTAGAAAGCCTTCCTGAGACCTGATCATTGCACACCTTCCATTTCAGAATGGAAAACTGGAAATTAATATCATCCGTTGTCTAAGTCAGTTGTCCTAATAATTACTTTTAAAATCTTATCTTCAGTGTCTCTTAAATTAGCATTACAGATTTCAGCAGATTGTTGCTGACAGGTTTTACTGCCCTTATAGTGTAAAGTATTAGCTTGGGCACATACCTGCAGTATGCAGTCCCCATCAAGGTGGGGCGAAACCAGAGACTTTTTGTTTTCATTTATTTTATTAAGTTAAGTTGGATCAACTCCAGAAAGAGGGTTGCTGGGTTTTTTTTGGAATTCCTTCTCAGTTTTTTCCTTAACGTTGTTAGTTCAGTGAGCTCTCTAGTAGGATAATAAAATAGAAAATTAGTTTTAGATTTTTTTTAAACAAATCTAAAACTAGAAGAATTAGCTTGGGATTTTTCTTTTCCCTTGTTCCCCATTCTTATCACCTAGATGACCATTGCTAGCTTGCCTAAGCTAACCAGCTCCAGAGGTGCATCTGGAGTCATTCCCAGGCCTCTGGTTTGTTCTTTAATGATTTCAGAGAGAGGTTAAAACTCTTCATGTGAGAAGTCAGCAGAGACCCAGAAAAACTAGCAGTGTGGTTGCATGTTGCTGCCAAAACCCTACTGAAATCACAAGTTGCAGGGGTCGATTTGTATTTATTAACAGGCTAAGAAGATGATATCCCTGGGAACTAGGACTTATTGAATCTGAGGGTTCTAAGGGAGCTAAGGGGTTATGGACGTCCCTTCTGGCCTTGAAATCAAGGGTTTTTATGAATATACTCTCCTTGGCCAAGTCTTTGCATGGGATCTGGTTCCCATGTCATCAGAAGCTCTAAATTAGGTCAACTTTGTATTTAAAAAATAAGGTTAAAACTGTCCATGTACTGTTTCATTGTGATCCGTTTCTGTGATACATATATATATAACAGACCAAGTATTTCAAGTGCATATAAAGAATATAACTAAATATAACATTTTTGCTGCCTTCACTGAAATTGTTGTTCTTTGTTGCAGATGTTTTCAGTAATTCCTAATAAATTCCTTCCAAATAGCAAGAATCCGTGCTGGTATGAAGAGTACCGAGGAAACACAACCACAGATCCGTACACAACAAACTCGTATGCACTGTACTCCAAGCGCTTTCGCACCATCTTTGATTACCTCAGGAAGGTATTTTGGAACCACTTGTATCACTATAAGGACAAACACTATCGGCTGCGTTGCCTTCCCCATTTCTACATTATTGGCCAACCCAAGTGTGGGACAACGGACCTTTATGACCGGCTCCGGTTGCACCCTGATGTTCGCTTCTCGGCCATCAAGGAACCTCACTGGTGGACCAGAAAGCGCTTTGGTGAGTGACCACGTGCCCAAGTGTTCAGAGCTCTTGTGTCTGTTAAACTTTAAAGTTTCTTGTGTATTTGGGATGAAATTTATGGCATTGTTCTATATTGGTCCAGCTTAAAACCCTGGAAGCTAATACTTCTGAAAATTTTGGTTAACTGATACTCAGTATGTTCTAGTCTGCTTTTCTTTAATGCTATTCTGCATTTCACAGTAGTGTGCATTTCCGATGAGGATATACAGGGTCGTTATGGTGACATCTTCCCTTCCTATTCAGAGGGAATGGGCTGGAGCTGAGCTTTCCCACACCGATCTGATCCTTATTAGCCTTGGAGGAGTAGGGAAGGAGCCCTATATCCCTGCTCCACACTTTCAGCTCTGCTCTACCTTAGTTTCCTTCCTCCTGCTGTCCTTGACCTCTCCCTGCTTGAGGAACCCTTCTGTGTTACAGTAAGAAGCAAAAATGCAAGGACGAGCAGAAGATGAGATAGGACTAGAGGCAGGAGGAATGGGAAAAAAAAAAAAAAAAAAAAGGCTCAGAATTGGCTTGAGATGCTGAGAAATGCAGGAAGGAGGCTGCTCCTATTGAAACCCCTGCAGTGCAGGAAAGGATGGAGAGGAGGAAAGTTGGAAATGCGCTGGGAGTTTTGTTTTCATACTTCTGAAGATAAACATATGAATTTCCCAGCTTTCTGATTTGAGTAAGTGCATGGTAATAAGGATATATTTGGCATCAGAGTTTGTTCTGTCTGTAAAATCTAAAATGCGGCTGATATTACTCCACTGTATATTGGTATAAATGAAAATAGAATCTGGTCTTCTATATTAATTCCATAAGCTAAATTTAGAAGTAAATAAATGCAGGCTATTCATGCAGGAACTATAAAGCAGAAGACTTCAAGTTATTTTCTATCAGTGTGAATTTATGGCTTAATCATATAGTATCTTGGATCTCCACTACTTCATTATTGGCACTTTTATCTGAGCGTTACACTCCACGGCTCTAATTTTGTGCTGACGTTAGCTGGCTTAGTGCCACTGGCACCAGCAAAGCTGTCTTGATTTACACCATCTCTTAATCTGGCCCTGCCGTTTTTAACTCCCTTTTCCACCGTTTTTCAGGAATCATTCGTCTGAGGGACGGATTTCACGATCGCTACCCGGTAGAAGATTACCTCGATCTGTTTGACTTGGCAGCGCATCAGATTCAGGGGGTGCTGCAGAGCCAAGCAGCAAAAGAAAGTGGCAAGACGAGCAGAATCGTTATTGGTAGGCAGCGCTGGTCCAGCTGAGCCAGTTTTTATGGTTGTATCCAAGCAGTGCATAAGTGTTGGCCTTGTCACTTAAGTGTGCAATAATAAGAAGGGGAAAAAAAAGACCCCGATGAGTTCTTCAAACATAGTATTTCATTTTGAGAGAGATTTTATTTGAGAGATGTTTGGCTATAGCTGCAGGTTCCTAGTCTGTAGCTTCAGACTGCAGTGCTGCAATGTCCCAAGTGTTTTGTGTTAAGCATAATAAATGAGGACTCCTGTTGCTGCTTGCAGATGGGCACGTAGAAATCTTGTAATGGGATGGAGATGTGACTTTGCTGATTGTTTGCTGGAATCACATCACTGCCTGTGAGAAACACTGACAGGAATTTTCAATTTCTGCTTTTGTTTTTTTGCTAAAAACAGGAAATTGAGGGGTAGCGAGTTTTCGCAGTTTTACCATGCTTATTCTGCCACCTTGAAATCTTCCAAGGAAACCACATCCTTTTTCCATGAAAATCCTGGCTGGGCAAAAGGGACCATTCCCTCTTGAAAGGAGTTTTGAAATAGGCCCAAGTTATTATCCTGCAGAAAATAGAGACAAGATTTTTGCTGCTAGTCCTTAGAGAATGCTCTGCGAATCAGATCCAAGCAAACTTTTAGCCCATCATATTATGTAGCTTAAAGCACCGACTCGGCTATAGTAACATTCATGTGCTAATTCCTCAGCCCCCACTTAGATCAATCACTTTGCTTTATTAAGTATGCAATGTTGAAGAAAATTTGCAGGATGAGGTCTTGCAAAACGTTGCAGTCAAGGACATCTGCATATTTCCCTCATACTTACAGTAATATATCCTGTCCGTTCTTGGGTGAAATGCTTATACTAATTAAATTGGCTAATCTAATTGGCAAAATACATCTTTGATTGCTTACTCCCCATTGCAGCTTTTTCTAGAGTTCATGATTTGCTTTTTCCTTCTCATTTCTTATAATGTTAAGGTTATGTTCACTTTTTTTATTAACTTTACAAGAAAAGTTCTGAATGATTATGCTCATTAAGTCAGATTTTATAACCCTGATTTAAAAAAACAGAAAG